ACCGGACCAAATTTACTGTTACATATAGTCCTCTGGATAAAGATTTTATGTCTGCATAATTTGTTGCTATTGACATATGTCGTTAGCGTATTGTCCTCTGGATTTAGATTTTGTTTGTCCATATGTCTGCATGATTCGTTGATGCATATGTCGTAAGTGTATTGTCCTTTGGATTTAGATTTTGTTTGTCCATATGTCTGCATGATTCGTTGATATTAACATATGTCGTTAGTGTTTTGTCCTCTGGATTTAGATTTTGTTTGTCCATATGTCTGCATGATACGTTGCTATTGACATATGTCGTTAGTGTTTTGTCCTCTGGATTTAGATTTTGTTTGTCCATATGTCTGCATGATACGTTGCTATTGACATATGTCGTTAGTGTATTGTCCTTTGGATTTAGATTTTGTTTGCCATATGTCTGCATGATTCGTTGATATTGACATATGTCGATAGTGTTTTGTCATCTGGATTTAGATTTTGTTTGTCCATATATGTCTGCATGATTCGTTGATATTGACATATGTTGTTAGTGTTTTGTCCTCTGGATTTAGATTTTGTTTGTCCATATGTCTGCATGATACGTTGCTATTGACATATGTCATTAGTGTTTTGTCCTCTGGATTTAGATTTTGTTTGTCCATATGTCTGCATGATACGTTGCTATTGACATATGTCGTTAGTGTATTGTTCTAAGATTTAGATTTTGTTTGTCCATCTGTCTGTATGATTCGTTGCTTTTGACATATGTCGTTAATTAGTGTATTGTCCTCTGAATTTAGATTTTATTTGTCCATATGAATGTGTGATTCGTTGCTATTGACCATGGGTCTTTCGTGTAAAGTTTTCTCATGATTTAGATTTTGTTTGTCCATATGCCTGTATGAATGTATACTTTTGACAATCCAGAGGACAAATACACTAATCAATGACACATATCAACAGTTGTGAATCATACAGAAATATGGACAAAAAATCTAAAGTCATATGAAAATAAATAAACTTCCGTACGCAAAAAATCCCTTCTGAAAATCAAATGTTCGTCACGCCTTGGTCAGGGTCCTCCGCAGTAAATTATGTGTCATGGTACATGATGCCTTATTACAATAGCATGATAATCTTACATATGACCATTTGCTTTAAATACTTCATTTGATGTAACTGTTATAATCCTTTACTGGATAAACAAATTCACACACAAGATATAAATTTCACACACAAGATATAAATTTCACACACAAGATATAAATTTCACACACAAGATATTGATTTCACACACAAGATATAAATTTCACAAAAAGTTCATCGGAAAGTACCATGACCTAATGGATAAATATTCAGTGTCTACTTAGGTGAAGTACGAGATGGTCTTGAGTTATAGATTCTAGGTGCTGAAGTTGTGTATCTTTCTATTCACTTTACAGTTTCCCTTTTTTTGTCTTCGTGCTTTCATGCTTCTTTTGACGTGACACAGTATTTATGCATCCCGCTATAGGGTTTTTTTAACTTTGGGCGTTCCTATTACAGGAGGGTCCAGAGGTGTGATTCTGTCGCAAGAGGTTGTTGGTGTTGTTTCCATTTTGTTTACCCTCGTATATTTTACTTAATGTGTACTTAATCGATAAAGTGTATACTATATACGATATGTTACTATCAGTAACACAACTTTTTTATTGGCGTCTTTGTCAGTCTACTTTCAACTACAACTACAAAAACACTTTAGTTGGTGTCTTTGTCAATTTTCTATCAACTACAATACCTTTTTTGTTGGCGTTTTTTTATATTTGTTTGTATTTTGTTTGATTTTTTTAGTCACTTGTATTGTATGTCTGTGGTACATGTTTATACAGTATGGCTGCTAGGTCCCAATTATTGTCATATTAACCTATTATAGAATAGAAAATAGAAACGGGGAATGTGTCAAAGAGACAACAACCCGACCAAAGAGCAGAAAACTGCCTACCAGTGGGCATTCAACGCAGCGAGAAAAGCAGTGTATAGCAGTTCAGCGAAATGGAAGCCACACTTCTAATTCCGAAACATACAAATGAACCAAAATTTAAAAAAAAACACTAGACTAACATAGACAAGAGGACTTGGGACAGGCGCAAACATGCGGCGGGGTTAAACATGTTTTGTGAGAACTCTATTTTTCTGTTTGGGTCGCTAACCCAATTTTGTCAATATAACGGAACTATAAACAACTGTCATACAATTATTAGGAGGTTTAGCTATCTATAAAACCCGGTTTAACCCACCATTTTCTTCGGAAAATTCCTGTACCAAGTCAGAAATGTAACAGTTATTTTTCACTCGTTCCGTTGGTTGGTAACGTTTGGGTTTGTCAGTTTTAATGAAGTTCCCCTTTTTGCATTTACCTTGCAGTTCGGGATTTTTGTTATACTTTTTTTTTTAATTTATTGTTTATGCATGAAATTTGACAACTAGAAGTGCAGCAAACAATCAGGCCTACTGTCTCACTGATGTTTAACCCTACATATATCAATCGACATGGGGGTTTGATAAAAAGACATAATAAACTTGCATACAAGTTTGCAAGTATGCAAGTAAAAATAATGTTGAAGGAATTAGAAAACCGGTTTTCGCCAGTTGCAAATGTTTTTATTTAATTTTCTGTAGATTCAAACTCTTTTATAAGTTTCCCCGACAGGTGAGAGCGGAAAAGGCTATGATTTCTTTTTTTACATTTCGGAATTATATGTTCTCATTCAGTGCTCTTGTTGGTTATGTTTGCCAATTAATTGCACCGGTATAGTATCTCGGGGGAAAGGGGGAATGTCGTTTGGACGCAACCGTTTCGCTACCCGTCTATAATGGACAACTTTTGTTCCCCAATGGCCGTACCCATATATGATAAGTGATCAATTATAGACAGGTCTCTCTTTTCTACATACCTCTTTCTCTCTTAACACGAAACTTACATCCCATAATATTACGGATGAGACCAAATTACTGGAACGGACTTCTTTAATGGTTATTGATAATAGCTCACTCATAAATAGAAACGGAGTTACGAGTCCCATTATGATAAAGACAATTAAAAAGCCTTTCCGTATTTCTGCATGCATTTCAAGTTGCATACAAGACTGATGACCGGTCGTTAAAATTTGATTATAATTTAAAGATATTAAGATAAGATGGATATTTTATTAGTGTAAAATTCTAAAAAATAGGATAGTGACTAAGTTTCAAAATAAAAAGTACAAAAATATAGCTTTTTTTCTTATTTGTTTATTTTTTTTACTGAAATTCGTGACAGCATGCCTCCTCTTAAATTAGCATATAAATTATTATATTTAGAACAGTGATAAAAAAGGAAACGCTGTCTGCCTCTATTATCAGAAGTCCATTACTAAGTTTTTAATAATTAGCAATAAGAAATCCACCGAACCATGGAAGTATTATATCGTCAATATAATATTTCCATGGCCAAACTAAGTTGACTCACTTCATTTTCAACAAACTGATAAGTAATCAAAACCTCAAGGAGACTAATCAACAGCTATCTGTTTGACGATAATATTTCTACCCATGATTCCATTGTTGAAATTTGGGAGGACCACATTAGGTGCTTTCCATTAATAACGGGACAGTGTGATCGCCCAGCTATATAGCACAGCTTGCATACTTCCTAGTAATGGACTTTACTATTATATATACGTATTCATTTACTAGGTTATTCAAAAGAGTCCTATATATTATGCATATAAACCATGTATGTAAAATACACAGTTCATATAAAAATAATGTGGTATGATTGCAAATGAGACAACTCTCTACAAGAGACCAAATGACACAGAAATTAGCAACTATAGGTCACCGTACGGCCTTCAACAATGAGCAAAGCCCATACCACATAGTCAGCTATAAAAGGCCCCGAAATGACAAATGTAAAACAATTCAAACGAGAAAACTAACGGCCTAATTTATGTTCAAAATAATGAACGAAAAAACAAATATGTTACATGACACGGTTATATATATTAATGTCGTTTCAATCATTATAAAATCTCAGTAAGCCATTTGCAATAATCATCAATATGTCATCTCTTCACCAAAACAAAATTCAAATTTGTTTTGCTTACTCTTGAATTAAAACAAGGATGTGTATAAAAAATAAAATAACAAAAATACCGAATAGTAAACTTACTATACAAATCCTTGATTAAAACAAGAAACAATATCAGAAATTGCATTAAACATTTTCATTCATGAGTTGTTTGGTTGTGTATAATCCGTTTATTTGGCAATCGCCATTGGCAGTCAGCAGGGTTTAAGAACATTTGTTGTTCGACCTGTTAGTCAAATGCGTTTTGTTAAAATATACCTTTTCCCTTTTTTGGTCTTTTGGAAAATGTTGTTTGTGCTGTATTTAGACCCTAGCTTCTAACAAGAAATTTGTTTTGCATGCACACGTATAAAAATTGCGGTTTTTATCCAACGCAATCATAGGTTTGAACGTTGTTTTCAATTTAGACTTGTCATTATTATATATATACAAAATGAAATTCATCTTCAACCTCTTGTTTTGAAATAGTTTATTTTTACATTTAATTTCGTTTTATTTCAAATGTTTTCATTACTCATTGAATTAAAATGTCTTAGATTTAAACAAGGAACAATATAAGAAATTTAATTAAAGATTTTCATTTTAGTTGTGTACTTATTATTACAAATGGAATACATCTTCAACTATTTATAGAGACAAGAGACATAGATTACAGTCTCTGGTATTACACAGGGGCACAATCTCAGTATTCTAAAGCTGTTTTACCTGTTTTATTATATGTATTGACCACGTTCAAAAACTAGCATGCTGTTTAATACTTATTCTTATTTTGGAATAGTTTGTTTTATAAATGTCCATCTAAATCTAATAAAAGATACTTGAATTATTCGTACTTAACTTTAAAATTTTCTGTAATGAAAGTATTAAAGAAAGGTAACTGAGTCTCACTTGGTAAGTTCGACAACTCATGTCCACCTACATCTCTACGCATGTGTCACATGAACTATTCCTGCTTGCCGGTTAGTTTGAAGTTTCAGAGGAATAACGATCAGAATGGAGTTATCTGGAAAGATATGTATAATAATATGTGCTTTTATGAGTGGTAAGTCCAGGGTATATATTTTTTTAAATTTTGAAATGTTAGAATTGTGCAGACACGACAGGTAAATATTATTACCTGGTCACAGTTGACACTGTCAACATATTTACCGGCGCCATAACCGGCGTTTTACCTTAAAAAAATTCATAGTGAAAGTAGATTTTAAAACTTTCAAAACTTCCTCTTCACAGAAAGCTAACTTCATGAAATTTTCTATCATATATTTGGAACGTCCGTTTGTGAACATTTTTAGATGCACCTTTAATGTTTAAACCACGTGGGAAAATTAGCGTTACCTCTGATCATGTTACGGATCAATACTTTTAAATTACATTTATGCCTTAATTTTTTTCTGGTTACATTTTTGGGTATATAACATTGTGACGGTTCAAAGGTATTTTACAGTATGATCATCTTTTAACGTGTTTGTAAAGGAATTTGCACAGTGTAGTTACATTTTCCGTACGGGTTTATTCATTATTGATTGGCTTGGCGTCTAATTGCCCAAGCCATTAAAGTCATATTTTTATGACAATATAATATTGGATTATGTTCAGTATTGTTTAATGGTTTACAGATACATTGTTTTATAACTATAATGCAGTAATGGACATTTATTGTCTGAAAGGAAAATCATTAAAATATATAATATATATATATGCTGGGACAATTTATACTATTCTAGTCCCAGATACATTTGTATATTCAGAAAATTTCAGACATATTGGACATGTTGGAAGTAATTTGTAAAAAAATACACTTTATCCAAGACAATGTTACTAGTTTTCCTACTCTTAAATTTCAACTACAATGTATGAATGTACATAACAAACAGCTAAGAGTGTGTCATATTTTTCTGGGATTTTGCATCCTATGCATAATAAACATTCCATTCCATTGTGTAACATTCGATTTTGTATCATAGTACATACAATAATAATCAATGATCAGTATTCCTTTGTATTCTACATATATTGCAGTGGCGGATCCAGAACTTTTCATAAGGGGGGGCCCGCTGACTGACCTAAGGGGGGGCCCCCGCTCCAGTCATGCTTCAGCGATTCCCTATGTAATAAACAAAATTTTTCCCAAGAAAGAGGGGGCCGTTCCCCCAGGGCCCCCCGGGATCCACCTATGTATTGTGTTATCTATCCTGCAGTTTGTTCAGTATCTTTTCTTTCAGCAAAACTGAAATGGTACTTGGTGTTAACTATTATGTGCCACATTTGAAAGCATTACTTTTGATAACAGAGTTTATTATCCATTGAAGTTCAGGATTAAAGACATTTACAGCCCACAATAAAGCTTTAATGATGCCATATTTATGTAGAAGTTACATAAGTCCATCTGTCCAACTGTTTTGATTAACAATTTACACCTATTATTCACTCTAAATGACTATAATTCTTTAATTTAACCTGTGTATAGACAAGAGTTCAAGCATGTTGACATTTTCACACATAAAATTGAATTCTTTTTAACATTTAGTTGTAATACCCAGGGGTCATGCTTTACATGATTAAAAATAATTTCATTGGTCAACAAAAATTTGCTTAAAAAAGTGATAAAACTGTTGACTTGAAAGATAATGGAGTATTCTATGTATAAATAGTAACCTGTGGAATGAAAAAATATACATCTCTCAAAATAAATAAAAGTATCAGTTACTTGTTAAAATATTAAATATATGTCTTGAATAACATTTTCTAAATCCGGTTCATTTTCACATTCCTAATTTGAATGATAAAATCTTGATATGTAGAATATAAAATCAGAATATATGTATTAGGATAAATGAGATTGTTTTTTTTTAATGTATAATTTAATAGCCCATTAAAAGACAAAAGTAATCAATAAACCCAATTCAAGGAAGTATTTGAGAGTGGGAGTAATTAAAATGTTTAAAAATGTTAAATCTGATGGATGTAGGTAGTGCTAGCTATTTTTACTTGTTGAATGAATGTATATAAATACTAGGTTAACAAATGGACTGATGCCAGGGTTTCCTGTTAAAGTGGTTGTTACTGCAGAGTGAATGCAGTTTGCTGCACAACTAGGTGTCAAGGATGTCATAATACCTTGTTTTGTTTACCTTAGAATATAATGATTATATCAGCTAATTACATATTGTGTCATCCGTTTGCATATAGCCTTTATCATATGGCAGACTTCCTAGTCATGAGGGAAAAAATGGAAGAAAATTACAGGTCATTTGATCTATAATAAACATAAATAGCATGATTGCTAGAAATAGGATGAATTGTTTATTTTTGTGAGAAAAGTAGTTTTATCTCTTAATTTTTTTAACAAATTTTATTTCATAAAACTCACTTTAGTACTTTCAATTTTCCGGTTTGTTTTTTAAGTCTCGAACTGGCACTCTTCCCGCAATAACAATAATTCAACAATTACAAAGAATCTGATATATCTTAATTACACATTCCCAACCTCAGATAACCTTACATGTATAACCTGCATAGTAATAAGTTACATCATACACAAAAGTGAAACCACTGAGGCTGAAAATCCAAAATAGATGTTATTTGTTTATGGTGAAAGACTGTCTATATTTGTATAATAAACAGGGAGTGTAGCTGAAATAAATGTACATACTGTTGGTAGCTGGACTTTGTTGTTTCTGTGTTTTACCATTGTGACATTCTAGATTAGGAAGAAGGTGGAGGGGGGCTTAGGAAGAAGGTGGAGGGGGGCTTGTGTACTCACTAAATCACGTTTCACATTTTGTGACTGTACCAATCCCAACTTCAGGTATCTGGTTTATGTGTGTCTTTACTTGTACATCCTTTTTGAGTCAAATTCAATCTGTACATTTCAAAGGTGTTACCTGCCAATTCTCATTTTTGGTGCTCAAAAATCTTTATTTTAGCAACAACTTTCTGGTGTTGAATAGATATTGCATACTTTATACATATATATGTTAGTTCAAACCTTCATAACTCTTGTCATTTCTTGGTCGTTTTCCACAGTTATAGTTACAAGACAATATTACCATTGCATCAGATGTTATCACATACATAATGTATACAGCCTATAAACTAAATTGATAAAATCATGACATTTTTTATTATCCTTATAACTTGGTCTGTTGTCTGTGTCAGCTGAAACATCAGAGGGCCATATCAAGTGGGTGGTAGAATGTGAATGTTTATCTAAGTTTCTTTTGGTCTCATTGCTAACCTTGGTATAATGATTTTATATCAAGCTGCTTTGGATTAGAACCTCCTTTCTTAAAGTAAACTAAAACTTAAATGTATGAGGTGATGTCCTATCACATGACACTATATTGAACCCAGTTCTCATATGTACAACAAAACTGTATACATACATGTACATGTACATCTAACCTTATTTGTTATAATTTTTATTATGGTCAGTAATCAGCTGGGTCCTTTTCTCAGTAAGGACTTGTTTTACTGAACTGTCTTGGAAAACTACATTTAGGGTTTCAATTTGTCAAAAAATGTCAGTTACAAGGATGGGAAATGTCAGTTACAATGATGGACTAGATACATGTATCAAAAGATTTCTGAATTCCAAAAACATTTTCTTGTACTTTTACACATGATAATTTAAAAAGGTAAAAAAAAATAGCCACCATGGCCAAGACCCTGTGACCTAACAGAAGCATTATCACTTTACATTTGAATTTAAAATGCATGGGAATTTAGGTTTTCCCTTTTATGCAATATTTCAATAAACATTTAGATGCATCAAACCATTCATCCTCATCATTACATGTCTTAAGTAAGGAAAAAGGTAAAACCCATTATGTCTGAAACCTGGTTAAATAGGGTATTTAAATACGCCTTATGCAAGCAAGCACATTTTTAGACACAATGTAATGAATGACCTTGGAATTCTGTTTACCACTTTCATTTTCAAACTAATAACACTTGAAATTTTGTACCCTAAAAGCTTTGTTAATATTTAATGTATATGCATTTTGGTTGAGAACGATTATGTATGATTTGATTATTGTAGATTAGACAAGGAATTATATTTCCTGGGATTTTAATATATCTGCATAAATCAATCAGATCCACAAATACACCATATTGATCAGTGTGTATTACTCATTCCTGCTTACAGACTATTTTCCAGTTATTGGAAGGGTATAACATAAGATTAATCAATGTAAAGTAGAATATAACTGTACATGTCAACTGATTGTACAGTGTAATGTTACATAATGTAATGTATTTGGCAGTGACAGCCTCTCAGTTTTATCTTTTGTTTGACATTCAATTCATATATGGAAAGAAAAGGATCCTCTCAACTTAAAACATTTTAAAAATAAGGAGATGTGATATGATTGCCAATTAAATTACGTGACATGGATGTTAAAGCAACTTTAGGTCACTGTACTGCCTTCAAAAATAAGCAAACACATACTGTCTAGGCTATAGAAGGCCCTGACATGACAAAATATATAAGACAGTTCAGAGGAATTTAACAATTTAAGAAAAAACTGAAAAAATTTGTTGGAAGGGATTTGAATTAATCAGATTGGCACAAGCACAAAAACCTCTTAAGTCCTGTATTCTTCGCTATCTAATATTAAACATACTGGGTTTGTCTTATAAGAAATCTTCTGGATTCAACTAAATTGTATCAACTGAGCTAAATGAAACCAAGAAGGTCTCCAGGACCAGTGCATGCTTATTAATATTTATGAATGATAAGATCACTGAAAAAATAAGTAACTTGAATTGGTTACAGCCTAGAGTGTACATGCAAATGTACTATGATGGCTATAACAGTGAAATGATGATACAAACATACAGGGGGTAAATGTTAGATGCTAAAATATTTGCTAAAATATGTTAGATGCTAAAATATTTGGAAATGAAACATTTCCTTAAATTTACTTATCTCCAATGACATTTTTCTTGATTTTACAATTTTATGATACATGTTTATTCAGTCTTCCAGTATGCAACATTACCTGTGTTCGTGACCTGCAAGCTGAGCTTACTTGTAGG